AAATAAATGGATAATCAACAAAACCGTTTATCTTTCGAGTCATCACAAAGGAAAGAATAAGCCGATCCAAGTTCTTGCGTAATGATAGTTTGTGAGATCGAAACATCACTTACAACATGATTATTATGCTCCAAATTAATTGACATCCTATTATTACCGGATTGAAGTTTCTTGTTATATCAATACAATTATTGAACTGAATTTTATTACTCGACTTTGCCGCAATACGAGATCGAGGAGTGGTCTTATTGTGCGTTCGATAATGGGCCGCAAATTATCCGAACGGCCAAACATTTTACCACAACCAGGATAATTACAATTAAACTTTCTTTCCTCGGTATGAGTGATCATGTGACGTTTCGGATGTTCGAGCCTTTTAAAACTCCAAGTGCATCCGGGCCAATCACATTCATGACGATATTCGTTGAGATGCGATAATAGGGATAGCAAACCATCTAAAGGATGTGCGATAGAAATACTTCCGGGTATTGTAGGGATACAATCGGAGCAAGTTGAAGTCGGTTAGGAGTCGAATGAGGGATGGAATGATTCATGATGTTTTTATTGCTAATATTGATAGGTGAGGAGAGGGTAAAGAGAAAATGGGTAACATCAATCATTAATCAAACTTTGATGATTAGCACGTTCATCTTGTGGATCCGTAAAAAAATGATTTGATTCGAAATTTGACGACAATAAAAATTTCGGATCGATATTGTTGTTATATGATCGCTGTTGAAGTATCAATCGAAGAATTGGATGATGTTAAGTTAGTTTTTAAATCTTAATAATTAGGGAAAGAAGAAGAGAGATTTGTTTTATCAAAATAATTTATGGTAAAAATAACGAATTTGATAGAGGAACTTATCCATTGTTGTAAATAAATTCATCGAAAGTCACTAGTGAGAAAAATATGAATTATTAAGACATTCGAAAAGAAACGTAAACGAAAGTAAGAATATTAAATAAATATATATAATTACAAAGTCAAAAAAAAAATCTCAATAGGATAATGTATATACACAGTAGATCTGAATTGCTAAATATTAGTCACGCGGGCCTAGTATTAATTCCTACAAAAAGTCAAAATAGGTTTCCTTCCGGGAGAAGCACTTTAATTCAAGAGAAGATCAACTAAAATTATTATGATATATAAGATTAAAAGTAAAGAAATAATGCGCAAGAAATAAAGCTTGAGGAGTAAAAGATAACAAGTGCCTTAGTATTAAAATAAAACAAAACAAAGGTTAAAAGTGGGGAGGTTCTACTACAGGGTCAACCTTCAAAGACATATCTATTTAAATGAAATTTTTCAATTCTCTTGAGCATTTTGTTTAAATTAATTAAAGTATTTCCATATAAAGCTACAATCAAAACTAAAATCATATAACTAAAGACAAAGAATATCTTATTTCAAGCTTATTTTAAGTGATCAATACATTCTTTGCGGTGTTATTACATCATTGCATATTTTTAGTATAAAATATATGTTATGTATAACCCATCTTGGGCTTACCTCATAAAGATTTAACGAAACATATGTCCGACTAGTGTGGTATAATGGTATTCCGAGTAGAAGATGGAATGTTTCTTGTGCTAAAATGTCTCACTCTGAAATATTGTTTAGAAGTACTTTCTGTATTAGGTAAAAGAGATAGATCGTTGGGATTACTATTATTGAAGATCTGTTTGAATATCAGAAAATGATGCTGGTCTATACTCAGCTTTGCTTGCATATTTCGATATGTATTGCAAAGCTGCATGAATGCTTAAAACAGGTTTTAGGTTTTCATTTACCCTATAACCCTGCAGTTGAAGCCTATTATGTGGGTTTATGTACAAATCATTTCTAGCTGTTACCATTTCAGGCTGTCCTTTCTTATTACTACGTATGAAGGTTTGATCAGTATGTTTCATAGAATACCTGAATTGGCATAGCGTTTGTCCATTTCATTTGGTCTGAAGGTAATACAAAGGGTTACAACGCATATGACATTGTAGCTTGTTAATTAATTTTATATAATCCTATGTATCATTAACTAATTCATTGCTCCTTTTTTGGCAAGAATGTTATTTTAGTATAGATGCGTTGATCTCTGGATTAATTGTAAAACTAATGAGTTGATATAATAAATCGTGTTCGTCATCAGGCTTTCATTTTCTTTCAGTTGATTCCAGTCAATCATATGTGCATTTCTTAACTTTCTTATGCCATACACATGTACACTTCCTTATGTTACTACTTAAATCTATATCATCAATCTTCTAAAATCCTAATTCAGTTTCAATACATCATTAAAAATCGTTGTTAAAGAATCATATAGCTATATGTGGATTTCAACTATATTCTATTGACGCTTTTTGGATGAGATTGACTCATCTTCAGAATACATTAATTTGTACACTCCCCTGAAAAAATAACCAGAAAATTGCGATTTCACGTGATGATCAACAATCGATATGCATCTTTTAAATTGCAATATTTCAAAAATAAATAAATTATTATCATTTCTTTTAAATTTATTTAGTTTCTATTGCATTAATAAAATAAACAGAATATTAGATTTTTTGAATTATCATATAGGAAGGGTTTTTAGGAAAAAATTTGAATCTTTAAAGATATAAACATGGTAATCTTTACTCATACAAATGTTCTAAAGATTTTTAAAATGTCAAGAACCCGATAGTATTTTTAAATAATCTTTTCTATAAAAATAATATAATATTCAGTTAGTTAATATATAAATTTAATATTTAGTTGAATAGCCTTTTGATTTTTTAACAGCCCTAACATGGCAAGGCATGCTTTCTATAAGATTACCATAAACTGAGCTATCCATATTAGACCATTTATCCTGTAAAAATTGAATAGCTCAGTTTCATTTTTTAGCAATGGACTTCGTTTACAGACTCTTCGCTCTAGTTTATCCATTCCAAATATTTTCTATAGGATTAAAATTAGGACTCTCTGAAGGCTATAGAAGATGTGACTCATTTTTTTCAGAAAAACCAATCCATTGTTCTTTTTGCTCGATGAATTAGTGTATTGTCATCCTGAAAATAATATCCATTTTCCTTACCAATAATCTCTAAATAAGGCAATAAATTATTATTAAGTACTTCAATATAATTTTTTGCTATCTGTCGACCATCAATTTATACTAATAGACCTAAACTATTTAAAAGAAACATCCCAAACTATAGTTGATGTAATTGAAGATGATAATGAGGATAATTATCATGAACTTCTTAAAGTCTTTTTATCGTTATAAACAAATCACAACAAAGAATTATTGGTAATAGCAATAATGGCAATGGCAATAATAGTGGTATTGATCATGGTAATAATATTGATATTATGAGTGTTCAAAATCCAGTTGAACGAAGGCCAAAAGGTCGTTCCAAATCCAAGAAGGTTAAAAGTTCCTTAGAGCAACCTAGTGTTAAAACTCAATATAAATGCAAATTATGTAAACAAAGGGACATAACAGCAAGACTTGTAAAGAACAAGAACAATTAAATATTAACGTTAATAAAAAGAACATTAACGATAAAAGGTAAGTTTTATTGTTTAAATTAGTTAGATCGGGTTGTGATTGAAATCCTTTAACTATATTATTGTATTTATTCGTATAGCCAAGAGAAATGATATTGAAGGCAAAAATTCAAAGGCTTTATATATCTGAAATTTTTTTTTTTTTTTGTAATCAAATAATAAAAT